TGACATCACCCCCCTATCATTCCCAAGCAAAGAATGTTCAAACATGTTCATTTCTTCACGCTATGAACCAAGGTATATGTACCGTATGATGGCATGTGCACTCGTCACTTTCTCCTTGTAAATGACAGGAACAAAACAATACTTGGGTTAATGTTAAATGAAATAATTTGATATTCTATTAAAAAATATTGTTTATTCTCATGCATATGTTATTTTCAAAAAAAAAAAAATGATTTGTGATTTAATTTTATTAGAATATTGAACTAAATAAAATTTTAATTCGTTGGAGGTTATTGTTTAATGTAGGTTTGATGGAGAGAAAAAGGGTCATACTAATAATGCGATGTCTAATTCATAATTTATAATCAATTTATGTGTTTTAAATCATTAAGTATTTAATGAAACATTATGTCTCAAAATAGCGAATTTGAAGTAATAAAATGAAATAAACTAACATTGGTGTAATAGAATAAGACTTTTCTCCCGTTAGAAGAAAGCCAATACTTTAACGAGTTAATATACTCTTAATTAGCTTCATGAGTTAGAATCCAAGTAGCACCATATTTTTGTAAGTGGAGTGAATGTTTATACTACCTTGTTTACTACACACATGCGCCGCTCGCCCGCCTTACCATGACCCAACCTAACTTGGATCAAAAAGATATAATTTTTTGGAAATTTGGAGACCGGTCCCCCTATATAGATTTATTTGGTTTTAAGTCCATTTTTTTTCAAGTTTAATATTGTACCCCTACTCTTTGAAAAAACAATAATCGACGTCTGACTTATCGTCTCATTCACATAGGTTAGATCATTGAGATATATATAAAAACTTTTGATGGAGTTATATATGTAAACCGTTTATTAAATATTATGATAATTAATAGAAGTTTTATATAGAAGTTATATATTATGATAGTTATATATGGAAGCTTGGTGTACGAATAAAGCGTTAGTCTATTAAGTTAAAATCAGATCACAAAATTTCTTTAACAATTCAAAATTTCCTTAACATTAGTGTTACTATAGTGACACGAATGAGATTGTTTTCTTTAAAATACTCAATACCCAAAAATGAAGAAGTCTACCATTTCAAATAGTAACACAAACTCAACCCCAATTTTCATTTACACTACCAATTGCAAACCTTTAGACGTTTATTATGTAACATACATATTTAATTTTCACAGTAACATCAAAGGTTTGTGCTCAATAACACATCGAATTTTACAAAATATAAGGCAATAAGGTTTTCATAGTAACATAAATTTTAAAAAGATTATAGTAACAATACGATTCATAAGTTAAATTTTTACAAAATTTTTAGTAGTAACACACCGTTGACAATTGAATTAGGATCCTCAACATCAATTAAGAACATCAAGACATCGAAATTCTGAAATCCATTTTCTCGTTATCACACAGTAACATAATCTATTTTACAGACATACAACAAAGATATTTCGAATGTCTTGCACAACAAAGAAAATAACAAAATCGAATTATGACACTTTAATTTAGTTATAATGAATCTCAAATTTTAAATTAGGAATGCCAAAAAGAAAAATCGGACAATTTGAACTATAGATTATGTAGAAGTTTTTTAAAACCTTAAAATGAACTTCAATTTTCATGTAAAATCACATACTTTAACTCTATTTTTGAATTTCAAAGTTGTGAAGATATCTTTGTCAATGAATCAACTGTAACTTTGTCAATGGATTCCACAGTAAACTTGAAGAATACAATCGAAATTGGGGTTGTGTTTATGTTATTATTTGAAATGGTGGAATTCTTCATTTTGAATATTGAGTATTTAAAGGAAAACAAACCAATTCATGTCACTATAGTAAAAGTGTCACTATAGTAACACTAATGTTAAAAAAAAATTGAATGTTAAGAAAATTTTGTGATCTGATTTTGATTTAATAGATCAGTGATTTATTCGTACATCAAACTTCTATATATAACTATCATAATATATAACTTCCATATAATACTTACACTAATTATTATATTTAATAAACGGTTTCTATATATAATTCAATCAAGGGTTTAAATATATAACTCAATGATCTAACTTATGTGACTTTTTCATTACTGGACAAAACTAACACCATTAGGGGTAATTTTAAAATTTAAAAAATAAGTGAACTTAAATACCTACATATAAGTTTAAACATAAACTTACCCTCAAATAAATTTTCTTGCAGAAGTCAAGTCATTATAAGTCCATCTAGGGGTACTCATCTTAAATTTTCAGTAATTTTTTTGGATAAAATTTTTTGGTGCGGTACAAGTTATGGGTCAAATCAAACTGATCCAAGCATAGATTGTAATTAAACTTGTAATTAAACTTCCAATTGAAATTTAACATCTAATTGAATTTTTAAAATTGAATTTGGCGCCAAAGCTTATGTTTGTTCTCTAAAGGTGCTTTCTCATTTTCGTTGTTGTTCAGGATTAAAGGTATGTCTCTTCGATCTGAGCATGAGCGTCTTGTGCTTCTTCAGGCAATCCGAACAAGCATGAAAGGTCTATAAAATAAACTACCTTATTGCCATTTTCAATCCATCCCAATTCTAAATTCTGCTTTTTGAGTTTCTTCTCTCTTTTTGCATATTGTTGCATTACTCTTTCTTCTTTAGTTCAAGTATAAACACAGAATTGTGTTTCGCTAGAGTTCTGAAGATTGAAGCATTATTTTTTTAGAAATGAAATCCGTTCTATCTTGGAAGACGTGTGCTTATTAACCTTAAGCATCGAGAGAGAATAAATCTATCTTAAAAAAATTGTGATTACACATAACTCAAATGATTGTTATTACTATTTTTAATTTTTGAATTTTTTAGATTTTTATTATTCGTATAATTTGGCATCACTATATATGCATTTTTGTTTCTTTTTATTAAATTAGTTCACATATAATAATATACTTAGTGATTTAGATTTTGATACAATAATTAGCGATTAATTTTAAGAGTAATGCTATTTAAACCTAAAAATTTGACATAATTTATTGACATAATGATGTGGTTTCATAGGAATCATTGAATCAACACCAAATTTCAATGTTTGATGAGACTTATAATCAATCCAAATGTCATAATAAATTAAGTCAATAAATTATGTCAATAATTTAAGTCCCAATAGCATTGCTCTAATTTTAAATATATACATACTTTGGATAACAATTTCTTAAGCATAGGTCATAAGAGTTTTATTTTTTATGAATACTCTAGTCTTGACAGATGTCTTTAACCAAGCTGTAAAGAAAATTAATCTGTAATCTCACATGAAAATTCTTGTTAAAATAAAAAAGCAAAAAGAAAAACCATTTAACCATAGACCAATGGCAGTTTAAGGTGAGGGCTACCATATCTACACGTGTTACGGGCTGAGACCCATCGTACCTTCGGTTGAATCACTTCCCTTTCTTTTTTCTTTTCGTTGGTATTCAAATAAGAGATACTATTTGATCTATTCTTTTGTTCCTCCTTTTGTCTCTCTATATCGTTTCAAGAAGCCATTGGGTCCAAACCACTCCTTCCACGAATCAGCAAAATGTCTTTACAGTCAAATGGTGGAAAGCTTGTAGTCTTTCTTGGTGTGCTCTCCAAGTAAGTCTCTGAAAAAAAAAATAAAAAAGGTAAGTCTCTTCTCTTTGCTAGCTTGAAGCTCCAAAGAAACCATACATGCTTGACTTGGCTTGCTTGTGTGTCTTCTTCAGAGCCCAGGTGAGTTTGTTCTTTCACTAACAGAACAGCTGTTCTGGGTTTGCATGTATAGAAAATACAGTCCTCTTTATGTACCAGTTAAAGAATCTGAGGTGCTTCTTATCAATCTTTTCACAAGTTGCAATCTTTTAAAAAGTTATTTTTTTCTTACATTGATGGCATTTGGTTTTTAGTCTGAACTCTGAAAGTATCTAAAATCTGATTTCCCACCGGTAATTTCTTGTCGTATGTTCATAAATTTCTTTAGCATTGATTATCTTTGTTGTTTTCCTTTATTATTATTGTATCAAAGCCAATTGATCTTTGGCATCTCTCTGTTTTTTCTTTTTTCTTCTTGATCATAATCTTTTGTTACTCAAAAATGGTTGATCTTCATGGTCCTCTGATGCAGTTTCTGTTGTTACGCATCATCTTATTTGAAAAAAAAAACCGGTGAATGTATAATAAAGACCGTCTTTGTAGCCATCAAAAGCTCTGCAAAAGTTTGTCTGATCTCCTTTTTCTGGTTTTTTCTCTTATTGTTTCTCCTTTTGCAGGAGCTTTCTTTTCCCGTTCCCTCTCTTATTTGAGAAAAAACCTGGTGAATGTACAATAAAGCCCGTCTTTGTAGCCATCAAAAGCTCTGCAAAAGTTGGTCTGATTACCTTTTTTGTGTGGTTTACGGGTATGCTGACCAAAGCAAGATTTCTTATCAAGGTTTCATCCGAGTGATGTGTCGGTTTCATCCGATTGATATGACACAATTTTTATCCTCAAATAAATAAGTTATATTAATATTTAATAATAGAGATTATACAGATGACAAACTTTACAAGAACCTTGGGAGGATCTTTCTTTTCCTGTTCCCTCTCTGTCTCTCTATCGACCTTTAGAAAATTGTGACCTTTGTTTGAAACTCTAAAATAACGTACACAATATGTATGTCTTTTAGTTTCCAAGAAAGAAGTGCTTATGAATTCCGTGTATTTGGACTTAAGGGCTTGAAGATCATTGTTTGTATGTTAATACAGGAATTGTTTAATTTCTGCACCTGTGATTCTGGGTGTGGTGGGCATCGACGTACTGGTTATTCTTCATGTTTAACAATTTCATGGACTTCTGAAGATCAGTTTTATTGTCTTAAAAATTATTCTTTACAATTTCATAGCTGGGTGTTTCATAATACCTGTTTTTCCTTTTCACTCTTTCAGATAGCAAGGGAATGGAGATTGGTGGACATAGATAACTCTTGTTTGCTTTGGTTGAAGTTAATTTGTGAACAACATGTCTTCTGCTTCTTGGATCACATCCCTTTCTTGTTCAAGCTCTGTAATACAGTCCTCAGAGGACACCTCAGTTTCACCCATACTTCAATGGCTAAGATTCATCTTCCTCTCTCCATGTCCTCAAAGGCTCCTCTTATCTGCTGTTGACATTGCGTTCTTGCTTGCCCTCCTCGTGTTTTTGATCCCGAAGCTCTATTCCAGATTCATCTCCAATAGTCATAGCAATTCTGACGTCAATAAACCTCTCATTAGAAACAACAGAGTTCCTCTTAGAACTTCTCCATGGTTCATGATCTCGCTGATTGTGACAGTTCTTCTTGCGGTTCTTTGTACGGTTTTATGCATTCTGGCCTTTTGTACAAGTAACCAGCCGCAATGGAAGCTAGTAGATGGACTGTTTTGGCTGATTCAAGCAATAACTTATGTTGTAATAACCATCCTAATAGTCCATGAGAAGAGATTCGAAGCTGCTATGCATCCATTGTCTCTTCGAATATTCTGGGCTGCAAACTTTGTCATTGTCGCTTTGTTCACTGCTTCAGGGATCATTCGTCTAATATCATTTAGAGATTCTAGTTCTGATTTGAGGTTGGATGATATAATTTCATTCATTAGCTTTCCTTTATCGATTATTCTTCTAATTGTAGCCATTAAAGGTTCAACTGGGATTACGGTGAGAAGAGAATTTGAATCAGGAATGGATGGGGAAGCCAGGTTGTATGAACCACTTTTAGACAAATCTAGTGTCAGTGGATTTGCTTCAGCTTCTATTATATCAAAAGCCTTTTGGCTTTGGATGAATCCTATACTGGGCAAAGGTTATAAATCACCTCTCAAGATTGATGATATCCCAACCCTTTCACCGCAACATAGAGCTGAAAGAATGTCAGAGCTCTTTGAACTCAATTGGCCTAAGCCTCATGAAAAATCAAAGCACCCTGTTCGAACCACATTGATTCGTTGTTTCTGGAAGGAGATTGCTTTCACTGCCTTCCTTGCAATTGTGAGACTTTGTGTAATGTATGTAGGGCCTACTCTCATTCAAAGATTTGTTGATTACACATCCGGGATTAGGAGCTCTCCATATGAAGGATACTACCTGGTATTGACTCTCCTCATTGCCAAGTTTGTGGAAGTTTTGACCTCGCACCAATTCAACTTTAATTCCCAGAAACTTGGAATGCTTATTCGAACCACCCTCATTACTTCTTTGTATAAGAAGGGCTTGAGGCTATCATGCTCTGCTCGACAAGCTCATGGGGTTGGACAGATTGTAAATTACATGGCAGTGGATGCTCAGCAGCTCTCGGATATGATGCTCCAGCTACATGCCATATGGCTTATGCCACTACAAGTCACTGTTGCCTTAGCTATCCTATATGGTTACCTCGGTGCCTCGACGATTATATCACTAATTGGCCTAGTTGTCGTTTTAGTGTTTGTTGTGATGGGCACTCGGCGAAACAACAGATTCCAATTCAATATAATGAAAAATCGTGATTCAAGAATGAAAGCAACAAATGAGATGCTTAATTACATGCGTGTCATCAAGTTCCAGGCATGGGAAGAACATTTCAACAAGCGAATTCAATCTTTCCGTGAATCAGAGTATGGATGGCTATCCAAGTTCATGTATTCAATATCAGGCAATATGATTGTGCTGTGGAGCACTCCACTAATGATATCTACACTCACATTTGGGAGTGCAATTTTGTTTGGGGTTTCACTCGATGCAGGAACAGTTTTTACCGCGACCTCGCTTTTTAAGATGTTGCAGGAACCAATCAGGACCTTTCCACAATCAATGATCTCACTTTCGCAAGCAATGATCTCACTGGGGAGGTTGGATAGATTTATGATGAGTAAGGAATTGATTGCTGAGTCAGTGGAGAGAGTGGAAGGTTGTGATGGTAGAACTGCGGTGGAGGTGAAAGATGGAGTTTTTGGCTGGGATGATGAAGGTGGAGAAGAAGTGGTGAAAAGTTTAAATTTTGAGATAAAAAAAGGGGAACTTGCAGCTATAGTTGGGACCGTTGGATCAGGGAAGTCTTCTCTACTGGCATCAATTCTTGGTGAGATGCACAAAATATCAGGAAGGGTATGAAATTTCATACTGTACCTTATGTCTGAACAAGTCTCATGTGCATGATTCTGCTCGATTGTTGTACTCTTTTGTTATGTCATATGTTCTTGTTTTACCTTCCTAGTGTTTATTTCTTAGACAGGATTTGGTCAGAGATCCATCCTGATTGATTAGACATAAGCATTCAAACAATTAGAAAGGTCATACATAATTTTTTTTTCTTAACCTGTTGACATGATGGTTGTGACTAACAGGGTATTTATAGCCAGATGGAGTCTCTAGTATAAGGTGTTCGTGTCTGTTGCACATTATATTTGCTTCTGGTCCATAGATCAGCCATTGACAATGTAGATTAATTTGAAATGAAACCAAATAGTGTCGGGCAACAGATTATACTAAAAATTTTTGGTTCACTTTCTATTTCTTATTCAAGAGTGCCATAGCTGCATAAAACTCAACCCCGATGAAAATTACAGCCATCTTTTTATTTGCTGCATTTGTTCGGACTTTCAATTTAGATTTGGAAAGGGGGACGCATCTATTAAATCAGAAGCTAGCCTGTCTTTCTCATGGCCCAACCCCAATCTTCTCAGCCTTCCTTTTCTTATTGCAGCAACTCTTGCTTTTATGGACCACTCCTTATTGGCAGAATGAATTTGCTCTTGCCCAGACCATTTTAGTTGGTTTTCCCTCATTGCATCCTTGGTGGGAGCTTCCTTAAGATCCTTGGTGTACCTGACTCATTAATTATTTGCACTATATGGTATAGGGAAATGTCTGTTGCGTTATGCACTTCAATATTGGCTTTCTTCATTGGACACTAGGACTTTATTAATTTTTTAGGTACTTTTAATACACACGTATCTTTAAATTGCGAACTCCCTAACTCTAAATCCTAATCATTAAATTTACTAGATGAAACCTTTAGAGATTGGATTATTTGATCATTTAATAGACATCTATTCTTCTCTTTGTAACAGGTAAGAGTTTATGGGACCACAGCCTATGTTGCACAAACATCGTGGATTCAAAATGGGACAATTCAAGAGAACATCCTATGTGGTTTGCCTATGAACAGAGACAGATACAAGGAAGTTATCAAGGTCTGTTGCTTGGAGAAAGACTTGGAAATGATGGAGTACGGAGATCAGACTGAAATTGGAGAACGTGGCATCAACCTCAGTGGCGGCCAGAAGCAGCGGATCCAACTTGCCAGAGCTGTTTTTCAGGATTGTGATATCTATCTTCTTGATGATGTATTTAGTGCCGTTGATGCCCATACTGGGTCAGATATATTCAAGGTGACAACCTCTTAGCCACATATGAATGTGCTTTATATGCTGCAATATCCTAATGCCTTCATATGTTGTGCTGTTTGCTCAAATATTTCTGCCATATTTGTGTTTGTATGCTGCTTATTATTTTTACTTTTTGAGAATCTATTAAAGAAGCATTAGCAATAGAAGATATTGGCATATATCATTCCCATACTTCATTAAAATTACTATATCAAAATTTATTGTTATAACTACTTGAAGTTAGGCAGGTTTTAAATATTCCAGAACCATTTGTTGCTTCTTATCTATTATTAAATGTGGCTTAGGTTATTTTTTCCATGCTCTTTCACAGGAATGTGTGAGGGGCATCCTCAAAGATAAAACGATTTTACTTGTCACCCACCAAGTTGACTTCTTGCGTAATGTTGATCTGATCTTAGTAAGTACAATTTTGCTTGTCTCAATCCCCGTATTTATCTTTATTTATTTGCATAATGTATATATGTAACAATTTTACCTCTCAAAACCAGGTTATGCGAGATGGGATGATTGTGCAATCCGGAAAATACAATGATATACTAGAATCAGGAATGGATTTCAAAGCGCTAGTGACCGCCCATGAAACTTCCATGGAACTGGTAGAAGCAGGAACCACCTCACATGGCCAAGGTTCCCCAAAACCACCAAAATCTCCTCAAACATCTTCTAACCATGGGGAAGCAAAGGGTCAGGACCGATCTCAAGAACAATCCGAGTCTGAAAGGGGAACTTCTAAGCTCATCAAAGAAGAGGAGCGAGAAACTGGGAGAGTCAGCTTACATGTTTACAAAGTATATCTCACAGAGGCTTTTGGTTGGTGGGGT